TAATTTATTAAAATATTGTTTTGGTGTAAAACTGACTTATATAACAGTTAAAAGGGAGATGACTAATTTATACATCAATTTAATACATCTTAATTGTTCGTAGCTTTATACAATGAAATAATTATAAAAATATAATTAATTTATATTGGTTTAATAATTTTGTATTTTAAAACTATAATCGTATATTACAAATTAAATATTTTCCAAAATACGTTATGGATAGTCCACACAATATAATATGTTGATGCTTTAAAAAAAACTTTGTATTTATTACTTTTGAGTATACTATTGTATACTATTGCCAATAATATATATAGTTGCTCGATGTAAATCTCATTCTTGCTGAATGATTGAGTTCGGCCTTTTAATATAACTCTAACATATTACCAGGGAACCGATTTTAATTTAAATACAAATTTTAATGTAGTTTTAATATCGAAGAGTGTTATTGACATATGTATACATTTTATTTCATTTTGAATGAACTGATACTAATTTTATTTCAAATATTTTTAAACATTTTAGTATAATTAAATATTTTTAAATATTTTACAAATAAATAAATAATAGTTAAATATTTTACTAATAAATATATGTAATCTATATTATTACAGAATTTTCGTTTTTATTTTAGTATTTTACGATGGACGAAAATATATGATTAAGTCTGTACAATATCTTATCTAGGAAGTAGGTACAAATTTCAAAAAACTTGCAAAACAATTTAACACTTATTTCCGCTAATTTTGGATTTTTAGTTGATATTATTTTAAAATTAGGAACTTCTAAAATGGCATTAACCAAGAGTCTAGAAATAGTAGATAATGCTATTGAGCAATTAGAACGCATTCCTGAAGAAATTCGAATTTTAACAAACTCTAAATTACAAAACATATTAGGAAAAAACCCAGAATTTAAGACTGTGAAGTCGATAGAGAAATACTATTAAACAAAACTCCAAAAAACAATTTATAAATATAGTACAGTCCAAAAGAATTAACATGTATGAAATATGCACCTGTCATTTCCGTTGATGTAAAGAAGTCATTTAACCGTCATAAAGCAATACTAAGATCGAATCGTCGTAATTTAAAATTTGAAAATCTCAAATTATATATCATTTCTAATTGTTTCTCCCATAAAGAATATTCGAATGATTCAGTATAAACATTTTTATCTTTGTATTATGTATTTTTTATAAATTATAGTGAATTATATATTATTTTCAATTTCAATATTTCAATATTATAAATAAATATATATGAAGTAATAAACAAATATATATTTAAATATTTTTAATGTTTTACTAAATTTTAATCCGTTCCCTACATATTACTAATAAAGACTTTGGTAAAATGTATTGTAATTTTTAATAAACCTAGAGATGTAGGGATACATAAAATTGTTTTCACAAATTATACATTTTTTATAGTTAAAATGTTTAATGAATCTCATAACTTACATAACTCTTTAATAGTATAAACTATTATTTTTTAAATTCTAGACTAGAGATAACTATTAGAGATTATAATTATTCTTTAAAATATGAACTATAAATCTAATTTTAAACAGACGTTTATAGTATTATTTAAGTTTTATCAAGATATGTAGAAAAAACGTTATCTAAAAATATTAGATAAATTTATAGAGCAAAGTTATCCTTTATTATTCAATTCAAATTGTAAATAATAATAAGTTATAACTAAAGCACGAATTTATATGCATTTAAAATTTAGAAAAGTATTCAAAAAATAAATGCTACCGCGTTTATAAAAATATTAGAAAATTAAAATTGTGAAAGTAAATCGATTGAATATTAAAGAAGATGTTGAATCAACAAGAAAATAGGACCACAGTAGAAATTAATGTAACAGCGGATGAACTATTGAACAAATCAACAATACAACAAGTATAAATGGGATTGGCAATACTGAAAAATGGAAAGGCCCCTGGGATTGATGAAGTAGTCACTGAATGCCTAGAAAAAGATGAAAAGATGACTCAATAACTTCACAACCTCATCACTGTTAAATGGGAATAGGAGGAGATTCCGGAGTTATGGAGGAGTTAGTCTTATACCCGGTATAAAAAAAGCAATGGTGGGCATTAACTTGTTAAAAGGTTAAATTTAAGTTAAAAAGTTAATTTTTTTTAAACTTTTTAACTTAACTAGTTAGTTATTTTTGTTTTTAACTTATTAACTTTTCGGTTAATTTTTTTATTATTTTAACATATTTTTTTATAGTTAATTATCGTTATTGTACAGGTAAGTTAATTTTAATTTTTTTTTTTTATCACATGGAACCATCAGACAAAACTTAATCTTTCGATTTTGGTAATTTATTTTTTCTAATATAATAACATAATATCCTCAATTCACAATAATCAAATTATATTTTAATCTATAGATACTATAATAAATAGTAATAATTAATATTCTATCTATTGTATAGACTTACTATTTTCACGAGTTCTATTTAATGATCTATTAGGTATTGAATAATACGATTTTTGTTTAGTCTAACTCTATAGTGTAGTTCTAAAACAGGTTTAAAAATAAATAGCATAGTCTTTTAAAAGTGTAAAGTTAAAATTGGATATTAATAACACAGGTACCTGCTGGTAAATACGACAATTCCAATGGATAAAACAAAAAGTCATCCGAGATATTTATAAATTATAATTTATATTTCAGTATTCTGCGTATTCGTTATAAATACAAATATAACATATAATATTAGAAACATTAACTTTTTTTTAACTGAGTTAAGTTAATTTTATTTTCTATCTAAACTTTTAACTTATCGAGTTGTTTTTTTTTTAACTTTTAACTTTAACTGAAGGCAATTTAATTGAATTAACTTAACTAACCACTGTTAATTATTTTCACTAACGTGCCCCCCTTTGATAAAAAAGGAGATAAAATAAAATCAAAGAACTATAGAAGAATTTCTCTGTTAACAGAGCTGTAAAGAATACTTTTAAAAAGTATTTAAGTAAATACTCAAATACATTTTTTCTCAAGTATTTAAGATACTACTCAAATACTTTAATTGTATAGTATTTCAAATATTACTCAATTACTTTAAAAAAGTCTTTGAAATACTTTTCAAATACTTTTTTAAAAAAATATTTGGAGTTATTAGGCCATGGTAAAAAAACATTTTGGAGATAAATAGTCGAAAGAGATGCATTATGCGGTTCTGAATCACTTTCATCATCAATATTATAGCTAGACTTGCTCATATAAAAACTTGAAATAATTGTAATAGCCAGTAGGTTATAAACTACACATTTATTTTAATAAATAAAAATAGTGTAGGCTTGCATATAGTGATTTGTGGTAAAATCTTTGTTATTCTCATAATTCCATATAACCAGGTGTATCTGATATTAACAGTTACCTATCTAATAATACAAAAGGAAATTTTGTTACTGAATATCTATTTTTAGAAACCTGGTTTTCACAAACCTTCAGGCTTTGATTATAGGTAGCAATATTTTTACAACCAAATATTTTGAATAAAAATAAAATGTTCGAAAAAAAAACTGAGTATTTAATACAAATAAGTACCTATTCAATAGAAAAAAAAAATTGACCATTGAAAATACTTCATTTTAAAAGTATTTAAAAAATTATTCAATACTTAAAAAAGTATTTTAATACTTTTAGTCAAATACTTTACAGCATCGTCTGTTAAGAACTTCGTACAAAGTATTATCTACCCTTTTATTAAACAGATTGAAACCATTTATTAAAGAAATTATTGGAGGATACCAAGCAGGTTTCCTATCCATGATAGGTAAATCGACTATAGATCAGATTCATATAGTAAAACAAGTAACAGAAAAGCCATGGATTCAATAAAGAAGTACTTATGCTATTTGTGAATTTTAAAGCAGCATACGACTCGGTAAATAAAAAGAAACTGTGGAACGTAATGCCCCAAATGGGAATACCAAAAAATCTTATACGAATGATCTTATAAAAATGAAAGTGTGAGTACAAGGCAAGTAATGCAACTAAATATAAGGTGATTTTTAGAGGAGACTATTCAAATGAATTCCAAATGTCGACAGGTCTCAGACAAGGAATCGCTTTGTCGTCGGCTTTATTTAACATTGCCTTAGAGTCAGTGGTAAGATAAGTTCTTAGGAAGGTGAAAGAAATATAAATCAGTTATAACCAACAACTTGAAATTGTAGCGTATGCTGAAGATCTAATGATAACTATAGAAAATTAGGAGAGTCTAAAACAATCCGCAAAAGATCTAATAAGGGTAGGTAAAGAAAGTCTTACCGTAAATTAAGAAAAAACAAAATACCTAATATTATTCAGTAAACAATGTAATTCACATTTAGGTAAGAAAATTTCTTTTAGAATACATTTTAGGTATTAATTGATTTCTTTTTTTTCTTATAGATTATAACTACTTAGAAAATGATTTTAGTAAATATATTCCTTAAAAAGTAGAAAAATAAAAGTATTTACAGTAAGATTCAATAATTTTAAATGATTTTTTTATATATAATTTTAATTAAATGTTCAAAATATGAATTTTGTTTTTTGTTAAATTTTGAGTGCATATAAATCCGCGTTATAGTTATAACTAATTAACTATTCATGATTCATCTGATATTAGATTTACGTACAAAAATGTCTAGGAATTTTATCTTATTTAGGATTCAAAATTGAATTTAGTGTGGTTACTTATTAATCAAAAGTTAATGCTGCTTTTCTGATAGGAAAAAGGAAATAAGAATACAATTATTTCGATAGTGAAAAAATCTAAATCATTCAGTAAATGTTTAAATATAAATACTATAAATAATAATAATCACACAAATCAATAATATTTTCTTAGATTTGGTCTGCAGGTTAAACAATAACTCACAAAAAATATTTATCATTAAATTATTGATAATATATTAATTTAAAAAAAGAATATTTCATCATTAATTATATATTTAAAAATTAATTTATAAAATTACATAAAACATAATAAGCAAATATCTGAATATCCAGACAAAAAAAAAATTAAAATTTTTTAAAATTAACTTAAAATCGGCAGCTTAATGAGAACCGATAGAGGCAGCTCTGGCTATTCCTTCTTCTATTCGTTTTTTATCACCCAAAAAAGTCCTCGAAGATATGACTTTCATGTCATCATCAAATTCATAAACGAATGGAATACCCGAAGGAATGTTTATTGAGCAAATATCATTGTCAGATACATCTATGGTAAAAAAAAAAAAAAAAACATTAAATTATAATTACAAATCTTATTATTGGAATAAAAATAAAATACAATACTGACTATCTAAATACTTGATGAGACTTCGTAATACGGTACCATGAGCCACAATCAAAATCCTTTGTCCTCGTTGTATATTCGGTACAATAGTATTGTCCCAATAAGGTATTACTCTCTCCATGGTTTCTTTAAGTGACTCAGTAGAAGGAAATTTTTCATTTGAAGTGTATGATTGAGCCACGATTTTGGGGTTACGCCAAATGGCTCGATAATATTTATGGGTAGCTTCCATTGGTGGTGGAAGGACATCAAAACTTCGTCTCCAAATTTGTACCTAGTTAATTTAATACAAGTATATTACTGTGTGACTTTAAATCTAATACAGATTATATATGTATATTTTGAAATGTCTTTGTTATATTTAAAAATGAAATAATAATTTGTATTCATACCATTTGAATATTTGATACATAAGTTCATAACTATAATACAAATTCAAATACTACATACGAAGTAATAACATTAAAATCATCATACATTTTTATTCAATTAAATAAATATCAATAAAATTATAACTAAAGTTTCTATTTATATTAATAATGGAAAAACTATTAAGAGGACGTCACACCCGCATGTATTATCTCTGTCTGACATACGTACAACATAGCAAATTGGCGTTCAGTGATTCAAATGTAGTGATGTTAGCTTTAAAATTAGGGTAAACTGACCTATAATCAAACTTTAAAGGAAGAACATTATCTGTGTTTCGTTGGTTGGTTTTTTCCGATATTTTAATTTTTTAGCGAGATATGATGTTTTTTTATATTTTACATACGCAAATTCTTCCCTTAAAGTTTGATTATAGGTCAGTTTACTCTAATATTAAAGCTAACTTTACTACATTTGAATCACTGAACGCAAATTTGCTATGTTGAACGTAGTCAGGCGGAGACAACACATGTGGGTGTGACGTCCTCTTAGAATACCTATAAATGAACTAACTTGGTCCAAATAGTCCAATCGTTGATATTAAAAGATACCTATTATATAAGACATTTAATGCAAGTTGCTTAATTAATACTCAAACATTAATCTCGGGAAAAAAATCAGTGTAAAATGAACGTTGAATAACATAAGCGTAACTTTGAAATTTATTGGGGGGGGGGGGGCAAAAATATAATTACATATCTAACAAAAAAGGTATCTGAGGCTAAATACCGTTTTAATCCCTATATATTATTATATAAAATTATTAATTTTCTAACATGATGTTTGATAAGCGAAAATTTAAGATTTAAAAAAAAAAATGTTATAGTAATAGCTATAACCAGCTGTTTTGTACTTATTTTAAAACAAGGTAAGTAAAATACCAGAGGGGGCACTGACCCTCCTAATTTTTTCTAGGGGGGGTAATTGCCCCCCCCCACAGTTTATGCCTATGTTGAATACATTACTAACTTCGCTTGATAAATAAAATAATTAATTCATAGTATTTTGCAAACATGAGCTCGTAATATTGTATTAGTTACTATATTTTAACAACCAAATAATAGACAAATTAATAAATTTTTCCACTTTGCTTTCATAAAACTGTATAATTAGTCATATTTTATCATGTAAAAATCACATCAACTGAAACTAAGCTTAATTTAAGTATTATGATAACCAAGTATATATTATAAATTTATACCTGTTTTTCGCCATATTTTGTAGCCAATTCAGCTTTATTGTATCCTGTCAAAGCTCCATAATGTCGCTCGTTTAACCTCCACGATTCCTCTACCGGTAGACTTGACTGACCAATGTGTTCAGTGATTATGTTAAGTGTTTGGTGGGCTCTAGTCAACAAAGATGTGTAAGCTCTATCAAACTCATAGTTTGATTGTTTTAATAATTCAGCACATTCTAAAGCTTCATTCGTACCTATAATATAGAAGAAAAAACTGTATTATAATTTATGTAATAAGTTTATGGTTGTTAAGTATTGTTGAAGCAAGAAAAATATTTTTACATGTACGCTTCATTCAGTTTTAAATTTACCTCCCACTGCACACATTATATTTACTCAATAAAAAATACATTATGGATATGTTCCAAAAAACCCACTGTAGTAAATTTAGACATATATTAGTTATTGTCGTTATCGATCACGATCTTAGAGAATTTATAAATTACAATAATTGTAATAAATTTTTCTAAATATATCATATGTTTTACATAAAAAATTTAATTGAAAGTTAAGACGAAAGCAGGAAAATATAAGTCGTATTATAATAAATTATCGAGTTATATAATTAACAATAATTATTTGTTATTTTCTATAATCTTTTCAGAATTATAATCAATTTATAATTTTCATATTTGTTTAATTAATAGTTATTGCAATACATTTAAATGATAATTCATATGAACTGTTTATTTGTATTACCTCGATCAGATAATAGTGAATCGTACCATCCACAGAAAATATTGTTTTTAGACCATTCACTTTCGCCATGCCTGGCCAATACCACGATTCGTCTTCCCGTCATTACTGAAATATCATAAAATATAAATGATAAAATGAATAAAATTGTTCAATGCGAATTTAAAATAATTAAGAATTAATTATATATATTCACGAAATGTTTTAATGTTTCACACCAATAGAAAAAGTGAATATTTATGAGAATATTACAAGATTTGACAACAGCTTTTATTTAATTCGAGTGACCTTCTTACGCACAGAGATAATAATAAATTTTATTCTGTGGTAGTGACGAATGTACACCACTATATTTATTAAAAAAAATAACTATTTTATTACATTAAGATAAAAAAAGAGATTCAACTTGTAACTTTTTAATTATATCGGTTTATCATTGTATTGCTATAAGTTGCAATGAACTTATTTTAATATCAAATGTTATTTATAAATACTAAAATTAAGTTAATTCATAGATATTATAAAAATAATCGTTTTGTATACAAAGAGATTCATTAAAAATATATCTTATTTAATTGTTACTTGTTAAAATATTTTAGTTTTCTAGGTAAAAATTTATTTAATTCAATAAACAAATTAATAATACTATAAAATCACTAAACAAATTAATAACTGTAGTTAAGCTTATTTATATATTGTCAAATAATATATAATATTTACATACTAGTTAATTGCAAGTATTCACATAATTTAATTACATTGCTATTTAATATTTCTCGATGCAATTTAAAATTTGCAATACAAGCATTTTCTTAAATAAATATTATACAATCCCATATTATTAACATTTGAGCTAATAAATATAAAATATATTTATACTGACTCTCAGTCTTATACTAGATAATAATAGATATAGATAATGCATTAATAATAGTTATGAAAACGCATATTATATCAAAAAAAGCGTAATTTTAAAAGCGAATTGCAATTCGAAATAAATACATGTAGTCAAATAAGTATTAAAAAATTGCTTCATGAGAAAATTGGTATAATTTATATGTATATGTTTTATAAAATTAATATTCTTTCGTAAACATATAAAACAAGAAAAAAGGGGTTAATATCCTATAAATGCTATAAGAAATTATTAAACATAACAACTTTAATATCCAACAAATATGTATTTATTCCTTCACAGCACGTTAATTACTTAGCTTTCTCAAATACACTTATATTCTAGTAGTCCTAATTATTGTAATTACAACAATTCAGAGTTTGCCAAAGTATTAAAATTATTAAAATATGTGAATCATTTGCTAGGTAAATTAAAATAAAAAAAATATGAATAACATAAAATTTCGATACACGATTTAATAACAAATAATCCATCACGTCAGTTCAAAATGGAAAAAAATAAAGAATTTTTAGAAAATTAAGGAAAACAATGTAAAATTTAATTATACAACATTAAATTCTCATAAGATATGATCTACATTATAAAATAAATCTATTTTCATTATTGTTATGTTTATAAATTTTTATAAACATAAAAATTTAATAAATCAGAGAAAATATACATTTATGATAAGAACTCCAATAAAACAAGAACTGATTCAAAAATTAATCGATTCCCTTATTATTAGCATTAAATAATAATTATCAATATTTTTTTATAAATATTTTATCATTTTAAAATATACATAATAAAGACCATTATGCATGTGTCCGATACATATCCAGGTATAAGAGTTATTTAATCTGACTTGATATTAAATATCAAGTTATTCCTTACATAATTTAAGTAACCGTAGACACCAAATCCATTAAATAATAAATTAATACTTAATTTCATTTGACAAGAAATTCCATGGGGGAATTATTTTATAAATATGTTAATGTAATAACGCAATCATGCTGGTTTTCTTATGTAGTTATATAGAAACACATTTTTCTTACAGATATCGATTACAATATAAATATAATATTCTAAAAAAAAAAAAAAAAATATGTCTTATGAGTACCTATATATTATTGTACTTGTTTATTTTTTTTTTAATTAAATCAATAATAAATAATATGACAATAATAAACAGTGTAGTACCACTTAAACTTTAACATTATTACATTCAGACATACATATACCATATATATGTTAAAAAACTCATCTTGAACTTCGTTCACCCCAAAATAGGTACTAAATTATTTTAAATTCTTACGTCACAACAAATATTGCACTCAATATTTTAAATGTTTATATATCATCATTATACACTTATGCATAATTCTCAACAAATATTCAGAAATTCACATTTTAATACCTTATAATTCAACCATGTTTATTTATTCATTTAAGAGCTGCATAAAACAACTTAACATGAGATTTTTTACAGACCCAAAAAAGTATTTACAAAGATAATACATCAATGTAAAATGTAATATAAATATATTTTTATGTAATTATACTTAGTGGTACATAACGCATATTCAATTTTTAATAAAAATATTTAGTTTTTTAAAAATATACATTTTTCTATAAACGTTTAAAAAATCAAAAACTTATTACATATATTTTCATTAAATACGTTCTTGTGTTCTGGTATATTTTCGTATATATATATTAAACAAAATGTTTTTAAATAATAAATTAAAGTAATAAATATAGTAATTTAACCTTAATTTATTCTTCAGTAGATGTATTCATATTTAATTTACAATGTTACAACTGGTATATTATTCACAACGATCTCAGATGTATTACACGATATACCTATGATATGATACAATTTTAGAATAGGAATAAATATAATATAATTTAAAAATGTATTGATTCATTGACCTAAGACTAAAGTTTTAGCAGCAATACACTTAACTGTTTTTGTTTATAAAATTAATATTAGATAAATTAATGATACAAAAATGTTCATATTTATAAATTCTATACATAAGTATAACGTTTATAATGAACCTTATCAAGTGTATTTTGATACCATATTATATTACTTTAATTTTCTTTTAATTGTAGCATTCCCAAACAGTTTGATTGTATAATTTGAAAAATAATTACAGAACATTAACCAAATATTTGAGGGTAAAAAGTAATAACATATACCTAAATCTCAGTTTTTTTTTTTTTTTAATACCTATGAATAATAGCGGATTGAACGTCAAGATTACTTTTCTGTATTATACACTTAAATTATACAAACATCATTATTTTTACCATAAATATTTTAAAAGGTATGATTTTGAATATTATACCATAGCTTTAGAAGCGGGTCTAGGGAGGAGATTATGGTTAATTGACTCACAGTTAATATTTGTTGATAAAATTAGCCTTTCGAAGTTTTTTAATATTTTTTAAATTTGCCAACTTTAAGTTAAAGTTAATACTAGATTAGGGCAAATGCCCTAGTTGCCACCCTTTTCAAAGTACGCTACTGGTTTTATCGTGTAGTACAGTAAAACATCTCTATATCAGACCCCATGTTTAAATATTTTAGGAATGCTATTTTTCTATAAAATTTATAGATTTTATTGATATTATTTCACTGATATATAATCTATAGACGATTGAACTTTTATTAGATGAAATACTTGGAATTTTACGAATACCGCGACTAATTCTTTGAGAACAAAAGCCAGTCTTGAATTATATACGAAGTAAACTGCAGTATATAAGATAAATTAACTGGCATATTATTATGAAAAGAGCTCGAGGACGTTTGGAATTCCTTAAACTCAAGTTGAATGAATTATCATGTACATAAAAAATAATAACAAAATAAAATCACAATAACTCATAAAATACTAGGCTAATTTATTTACATATAGTTTTTAAATAATTAAAAAAAAAATGTAAAATATCTACTGCCTACACTGCTTTTCATAACACTATGTAAATACAAAGTTTAAGAATTATTATGTAACATGATAAAAATTAAAAAATTAAACAATTGTCCCACAAAGTTATCAATAGTAAACAGTTATTTAAACATATAATACGTGTAGTAAACATAAATACACACTCGTGTATCGCGCCTAAATTTGACATTTCGCAGACACATACACACACACACACACACACACACACATGCACACCGCGTGTGTCACATAAGTGTGATTTAAAATTAATTACAATATGCAAGTAGATACAAATGAAACCACGAGTCATAAATCTTTTTGGTATCTGATTAAGAAAAATAAATGTTAAATATTAAGTTATTATTGAGTTTATTTGTAAATATATTTTATTTGCTATTTTATTTAATTCCATATTTTTACTTAAATGATCTGCTCATCTAAGTAGCCATCTATACTTTAACTTATGACACTTTATTTGAAAACCTATCAAATATTTCCACACATGAATAAAAATATCACTTAACATATAACATATATAACAACATTATTCAAATAATAATAAATAATATAATACATTTTAGTTATGTCCTTCTGTAAAATTCCAAACGAATTATAATTATATTATATGGCTAGTAATATATTGTAAAATATTTTATCTGAACAATTAATTGTAATAAAAAAATTATAGTTTTAATTTCAAATATTAAAATGAAAACTTACTATTTTAAAATAACAACATAAATAAAATGGATTTATTATTCATAGTGAGATATTTAATTGATCTCTTTAGTTATACATTTTTAACATATAATAAATATTATTTTATTTTAAATTATATATTAATTACGTTTAAAACATTGAAATTATCTTTATTCTTTATTTAAGTTAAATAGACAATTTAAGTAAATCGTAAAATAAGAATATTTAAAATATTATTTTAACTTGTAATGTAGTAATTAATTTAGTACCTATAATATAGGCTTATAAAAAATACAAAATTAAAAATATTATAATAGATAAAATACCCTTACAATCAATTGCTGACACTGAATGATTAGGTAAAATTATCAATAGGCAAACAAACAAACTAAAAGAAGATAATATTTTAATTATCAATATACTAAAAAAGATTAAATTACTATGATGTTGATAATTATGCTATAGATTGATGCATTATGTTATTAAACAATAATATAATGAACTAGTTTCAGATATCACTAATAATCTTAATCTAAGTAGCTAACATATAAATAATAAAATATGCTAATAGGTAAATAATCGTTTATAATTAAAACATTTTAAAATTATCGTTATTTTATGATAAATACAAAAAAATGTTCTTCTCGAGTTTGATTGGTTTTTTTTATTTATATAAGAGCTTTTGCAAATATTCTTGAACATAAATAAACCTTTTATACATAAAAACAAATTTATGGCATTTTTTCAAATGATATAAAATAGATGAGCTTAAAATGTAGATAGCTTTTTTCTTCCTTTAAGTATATTTATTTTTCATTCAATTTATTAACAAGATTTCCAGACTAAAATAGGCAATATCATGAACTCCTCAAATAATTTATTTAGTGTATACTGAATTTAAAAAATATATGCGTAATTTAAACAATTTTAAAGTCTTTTTCTTTTCAACATAACCACGATTTTCTTAAAATCATTAGTCTTAGCTATAACCAGACTTAAATTGAGATCTTACTTTTAACGATTTATCAAATTTTTATTTTTATATTCGAAAAACACGGGAAAATAATAAATAAACTGGTTGAAAATAGCGGAATAGTCGAATTGCACTTATTACCTACAAATAAATGGTCGAATTGCACTTGGATTGATAAAAGGTAATGGTCGAACCGCACTCGAGTAAAAATCAGGTAGTGATTGAATTGCACTCGTTCAAAAAAAGTTTTAAAATGGAAAACGCTTTAAAAATATTAGGAATCTTTCTATTAAAGAACGTTGTACTTATTTAATAGCATTATATGTTAGTTCGTGCCATTTAGATAACACAGATAATATTATTATTCCCAATGTGTTTAAAATAATTACTGAAAAGTGCAATGAAAATGGTTTAATATTTATGCTAAATTTATTTTTAGCAGATTTTGAACAAGCAATCCATAATGCGATCAATGAAATGTTTCCTTTATATAAAATAATAGGTTGTAGATTCCATTTATCACAATCATGGTATTGTAAAATACAAAATTTAGGACTTTCAATTGATTACAAATCTGAAACAGAAATTGGAAAATGGCTTCGTAATATATTTGGTTTAAGTTTTTTAAATGTAGTTGAAGTTGGCGAATCTTATACAGATGATTTTATGTCAACTATCCCAGAAAATCACACTGTTAAAAAATTTAATGATTATTTAGTTAATAATTATATTTCTGACGAAGGACTTTTACCGCCTCATATTTAGGCTTAAGATAAGATTTCTAGTCAAAGAACTACTAATGCATGTGAGTCTTTCCACGCGAAGTTCAATAAATCATTTTTATCACCACATCCAAATATATTTGTATTTATTGATGTTTTAACACAATTAAAAATCGTTAACACGGTACCAGAAAAAAAATAAATAATATTCAAAAATATATTGACTTATATACTCAGATGCGTATTACCATGGTAGAATTTTTGAATACAATTAGTCATGACTACAAAAAAATTATCAAAATGACAAAAAAAGAATTATAATAAGGACGATAGTTAAATTTGACGATTAAAAAAAAAATGTATAATAATAATATGTATAATATATAATGTATATAATGTATAATATAACAATTATAATGTAAATATATATAATTAAAATAATATGATATATAAAACAATCATTTTTAACCATGCCAATGATTACTAAGTGATACTAAATGTAACTAAATAAAGTAAATCAAACCCCTTTAAATGCATGATAATTTTATTGAAATACTTTTTTGAGTCAAGTGCAGTTCGACCACTACCTGCTTTTTACCCGAGTGCAGTTCGACCATAACCTTTTTTAAACCCAAGTGCAATTCGACTTAAAGAAGTGCAATTCGACCATACCCGAAAATAAAACAGTTTTAATCAAGATATACTATAAAAATGGCACTAATTTCAACTCCTGCCTAGGTACACGTAAAAAACGTTCATAACATTTGATAGCAAATAATCAGTATACTACAACTATGGTATAATGAAAATATAATATGTATTGTATCTATTCACTATTATAGTTAAATAATAAATTAAATAATTTAAAATAATTTGTTATTTCAAAATTGTAAAGTATTTTGTTGAAAACAATTTTTTCTTTTCGAAAAATATATTCAAAATATTCAATAATCAAATATTTGACAAAAGATTTGTTATACTCAATTTTCCGAACATTTTGGCTGATCATGATTTTTAAAATATAAAAAACCGCCCACCAGTGTCATGAAAATCTGTAAATTTTGTAAAATCTGTGAATTGCAATTTTTATGATTTTGTTAAAAAACAAAAAACAGAATCTTACAGCTGACGGTATCGTTGCCAGATTTATTCATTATAATTCAATGTATTATAAATACTCCGAAAGAGTTAAAATCCTGAATAACTTGCATAGTTTATTAAGACGTAATAAATTGTATAAATATTAAAATATTATTTTTCTTGTCAAATACTGTAATCATTTCATAAATTATCCGTTCCGATTTGTATATAATTTAAGAATATTTAGAAATATTATTGAGATAATATATAACAGGTACAATTATTCTAATTATGAAATAAAATTATGGTTGACCCAATAAAGTAAGCTTATAAATTCTACCCTAATCTGAAATTCAGTGGCAATAGCTTTTAAAAAAACTAACAATAAAAAGATAACGGTTAAAAAGTATCAACTAAATAAGTACAAAATATGTAGACCAAACCACTACAACAGACATGTATATAATGAAATTTCATAATATACATATATATATATTATATTATTAATTTATAACCCATTATTGTAATTGCTTTTTGTCAATATGTGAATATTATATAAAACTTTTATTGTAATCAACAAACATCAACCTTATCTTGTTTTTACTTTAACAACTGTGAAATAGTGATTTTGTTATAATAATCGTGGGAACTCATATAATTATATTATCTTATTATAATATTATTTAAGACTTTATTAAAATATAAATTACTGTAATATTTATCATAATGCATTCATACTGTATAACTATACAATATACAGCAGAGTAGATAAGATAGATTTTAATATTTTATAGTTATTAATATACCCTAAGTTATAATTTTATTATAATGTTTATTTTTAAAATATTATAATTAAATTAATGAAAATTATATAAATAATTAAATAATAAATAAAAAAATAGGTAGTTCGAAAGGAATTCTTTTAATATACAGAACATTTCACTATAACTGAAACATCTAGTGAGAATTTCAAAAATAAAAAATTTATATGATTGAAGATAATGTCTTACATTTTTAATATTGACATGGTAACAAATATGTCAAATACATAATTCGAATACATCAATGCATAATTATAATTTAAAGTGCATTTTCATCAGATTATCATCGCATAAATTATTTTTTAAACATATCATCGGATGGTACGCCAACAAAATATACATTTATATGATAATCGCAACTATTTGCATACACTATGTGCAAAGAAGTGCATTATAAACAGATTTACGACCCGAATGAATGGCCCTCGAAAATTGAAAATGATTTACTTCCAAAGGAAAAAAAAAATATTTAAAAATTTTTTTTTTTAATATCAGAAACGTAATATGAAACGGCCAGCAGTAAACAGGAATTAAAATAATTTACCTACGCGGCATTTATTGCTCCAGGACGAGAGAGAAACCTGTAGAAAAGATGAGAAAAAAAAAGAAAAACGAACAAAATAATATCGTAGTATCAACAATTACGTATTGGATAGATTGGTTTTGATTAAAAAATGTCATCGAGGAGTACATTGCGAGTGTTTTTAATAAATTGGCGCCAAAACATATGCCGTTGCCGAAACGCGTGCGTTCCATTACGGTCGCAGCGCGCACCAGACACGGCGACGAGATCAATATTCGAAAAGTGACAAAACGGATACATGATATTATTATTTTTATTTTTTACTGAATTGTAGATAAAAAAGATAGAAAACCGTGAAGTACGATCGGTCATCGACATTATATTCATCATGCACACGTACACACATACCTACACAGGTATATTTTTGTTTACTACTAAATATAGATGTAACGTAGAACTACATAACAATAACTAATAATAAACCAATAAACGTATAAATTATAATATTATGTACACGCGTACGGGGTACCATTCGCTGTTTATTAGGTACATATGTATAGAGCAGTCGACCGAGTAATAATAATCATAATTCATTATAATGATCGATAAACAAACAAGAACATTATTAATGTAACATAATCATACGTACCTATTTGTGATATAAAGTTATAAAAATTAAAAGTCGGATGTACAAAAGAAAAATAAATCGGAAAAAATACCGGTAGTTAATACATGAAATTAACGGAAAGTAAAACACAAAAATGAAAAACTGAAAGAGCAAAAACAAAACAACGCGTAATGTTTACCACCTACTTGCGATAGAGCCACTGATATATCATGAACGTGTACAAGAGTATATGATGTTTACGTGCGCGCGCTCCCGCGCGTGTGTGTGTGTGTTTGAGCGTGCGCGCACGCGTTTATACGGTCTGGTGTATGTGTGTATGCGTATATGTGTGTGAATGTGTGTGTGCCCGCGCGCGCGCGCGCGCCCGCGCGTATGTGTGTGTGTGTATGTGTATGTTCGTGTGTACGCACGCGGGTATGTCTGCGCCGCCGCCTTGCTGTTCGCGTGTGCACACCGGGGCAATTCCGATACACTAAACGTACCGAAGTTATATTATTACAGCGCAGCACCTCCGGCATGCTGCTGTTGCTGCTGCTGCTTCTGCTGCCGGAGACGACGGCGCGGTGGTAGCGTTCTGTGTTTACACGCGGTGCGTGTCCGTGGCGCTGCTGCTGGTGCGCTCCGCGTTGTTGTTGTTTTCATCGTCGTCGCGTTCGCCGTTGCTTACCACCACCGCCACCATAACTACCGTCGCACCGCACACCACACGTATCGCGAACGGATTTCTCGCGAGCGCAGCGGTGGGACGACGTGTATTTATTTATTTACCTTTTTTTTTTTTTTTTTTTTATTAATATTCTGTATGCCCTATCAAATGGGAATTTTACGCGCACCCGTGAGCCGGACGCCGTGACCCTCGAGTGGCCGGCCGGCTGGTCGGTCGGTGTCGGTGGAGAAGCCGCAAGGCACCGGTCGGAGACGGTACGTCCTGCGCGCGCGCGACCGTCCGTCAGCCGGCTAACGAGGAAACGACGGCGGGGGGAAGGAAATCGGGCGGCGACGACCGAGTACGCGCGCACGGTGCGGCGCCGTGGATTGCGATCGGTTTTAACGGATGTCTTGTGTGTGCCGCCCGTGTCACATACCGGAAACACCGTGATTGTGCCCGTGTAGCGTTGTTCGTATTATAATAGGAAAGATTTATGAAATGAATTGCACGCACCTGGTGATGACGGTGGGGAAACGGACAGCGGAATCGCGGTTTTTCGGACTGACGACGACATTTTTCTTTACTTCTCGACGTGATGACGCATTTTGTGTTGGTGCATCTGTGTGTGTGTGTGTGCGTGTCAAGCAAGGGATGCCTCGTGTAGCCGTCTTGGGCACGCGCACGCACACGCGCGATACGAATCCGACGCACCGTTTGTTATCGCTTGAACCGTCGTCGCGACGCGAACACACTATTTACACACACACTCATTACTCGTTTCGGGTCGATTGTGTCGTGCGTCGCTGCCACGAATCGTCCGACAGATAATATTAGGCACAATATTTATATTGTGTAGGAACGCAAACGGTTTTCGAGTGGCCGCTTGCTAGTGTTCGACTCGCTCATCGATGGAAATCATTTTTGTCTTCACGAGAGGAAAAATGTATCGTAATACCATACATTTGGTGAAAATAATAATACTTAATAATATAATAATTATTATTATTATAATTACTTAACGATTAAAAACGATTGCAAAATTATAATAGTTGAGCAAACCGGCACCCATATACAATGAACCAATGGTGCCGTTTAAGGGGACAATAGGGACCATACCATCCCTCCTAGTGATTTTTGACTGACCGCGTAGTTGGTAAGCTTGAATTTGGATGTTTTGCCTAAAAATAATACAGAGTATACTATGTATTATATAGATATATACCAAACAATATTGGCAATAAGAATCAAATCCGCCACTGCAACGAACCCTGTTATCTTATATTCATAAAAATAAATTTTATTTTGAAAATCGATGTTTAATATGATTTTGTCCCTAACCTTCAATCCGATAGCATCGGTGATCAGCAAGCACAGAACGTTTTACGAAACGTGAATATTCTAATTTTTGCACGAGCCTGTCTGCGATCATGTCTAAACAAAATCATTGTCATAAAGACTGGTAACATTTCAAACGGTTTGATATCTCTTATCTCTATATATGTATGTATACAGTATGCGTAATCTACGTCAGTGTATTATGTAATCAAAATTATAAAGCGCAAATTGTACTAAAGTGATATTTTCGATACTTGTTCCGACTTTGAAACGTGTTTTATTAAATGAAAATTCCCATTTATATTGATAAATGGTACATTTACCTTGGTTTTTGACATCCACTACGGTTTAATGTTTGCAATAGCGCATTGGTTGTTAGGAAAGTAACTTTTCCTTATCGTGTTTTAAATAAAATCGATGGCGAGCCAGCAAGATTTCCAGATGTATAATTCATACTACTAAAGATATTAAACGAAAAAGTAATCAATAAATTTACGGTGCGTTTATCAAGACCGTTGATGTTAACTAAAATAGGTACAACTGATTTGATGCAGTTTATACGTCATGTATAAGTACATAATATATAGTTACTTGGTGTCTATCATAAGTGGCTAAGTACTACAACACGAGAACTGAACGTTTGTGTAAAACAAAAAGTCACAATAACACTTGTTAAAGTTGGTTGGAAAATACTTGAAATAGGTAACTGAAAAAAAAATGTTCTTAAATATTACACAAATAATGTAAGTAAACTATAATACTTTATAATTGAATTGATTTGATTTTTAAAACTTTCTTACCTTGCTGATTTGATAATAATTAAAACCAAATTCAAAGAACAATTTCTAAATATTGGATAATTTATATTTAATATTACCAGAATTATTGTTCAAACTATTATATTTATAAATATTTTTTATATTTTTATAATAAATATATTTTATTGATTTACAAAATAAGTATTACTGTACTAATATAGTTTTTAAATTAATATTATTACATATAACTATTTACCTGAATAGAATATAGCAAAATAACGGTTTAAATGCACGTTTTTAACATTTTTTCTAACTGATTAATTTGATTTTCGATAAATACAAAATATCCTATTTGTTTCTCTAAGAATCTAAAACCATGAACATTTTTGATATTTTTTTAGGACATTTTACTTTATTTATAACACAGTAATAATTTTTGTTTACATTTTTTTATGAACTATTGATTGCTTATTCAAAATGACATCAATGATTCTTCCAAACAAAAATACTGGTAACGGTAAAGAAACTATTTTTTCTATTCTATTTTACTAAATGCATTATGTTATAGTACAAAACTTTAAAACGTAGATGCCGAAGATAGCAAAATAGTAAGGGGCCAAATGTTGGCAATAAATATGTTGACTAATGTGTGACATATTACAAAAATGAATGTGTAAACAAACATATAACTGATCTATTTCTGTATGTTTTTATCATCTCAAGTTTATTCAGCTTATCTATTTTATAGTAATTCATCTATCAATTGCCTCGAAAATATTTATTAATACATTTAAAATATTGTATCAAATGAACAGGTTAACAGAATTCAGTAGTCTTTAACAATTTATAAATCTGTTCTCATTAGTATGAATTAATATAAATATACTTATTTTAAATAAAAATTTTCGATGTTCAACCTTTTTAATTAAAAATTTACCTGTTTTTTTTTAAAAATTAATAGTAGTGTATTAGATTTTTAAAACGTTCAAAATATTTCTTCAAAAATTAATATTATCAAATTATTATAATATTATAATATTACCTATTTAATTTTTAGTAGAATAAATAAATAAAAATTACACATCTTAAATAATTTACTATAAATGACACCTTATAATATATATTGATCGAGCTCAATGAAATTATTTAATAATAGTTTTTTTTTATTTGTATAGTACTCTATGGTGGAGTTATACTTTATTAAAATTAAAACTTCTAACGTAAAATATTACTATATACATATATGTTTTAACAATTACACGTAAATATATTTATATTATATATATATATATATATATATATATATATACAGTCTCCACCAGTTTATTTTTTTATGTAGTAACAGCCAACAGGTATTTATATTGCGTCTTCATTTTATCTCCATCAAAAAGAAATGTGTTATTATTCGAAGGTCACATTATACGCAATATTTCAATTTTAAAAACTAAGATATATTTTTATAATATAACTACGATTTCATATATTATTAGTTAACTCGTATTTAAAATTGATAAAAATATTTGCTTCTTGTAATTAGTAAGCTTGTGATGTATATCTCATCTTCAATCTTCATTATAATTTAACAATATATTTTTTTTCTAATATTTAACTAAAAAGTAATTTTTGTTATTAGTAGTACCTACATACAACCTAGCATTTACATAGAATTTTTTTTCTGATTTTTCTTAAAATTTTATTATTTATTAACTGATTACGATTTTTGCATGGGAAGTTCAAACCCCCATACCTACTATCGATTAGCAATGGTAGAATGAAGGAAGTCAACATATTCTAGTGGTTAAATCATCATTAGAGAATGTTGTTATTGTCATTCAGTGAAAATTTCAAAATTCTACGATTATAATATTGCCACTTATTTATAATTGTTTTCATTTTTTTAGAAAATTGTTGGGAAAGACAATAAATTACTTGCTAAATGCAATAACTAGATAATATTTGTAATTAGACAAAAAATTGATCATCGGAGCATGCTTCTGGTCGAAATCTAATTCACCCCAATCATAAAAAGTAATAACATGGAAATAAATTACTTAATTTACTCAGAATCTAAAAATTAGTTAAATATTTCAGTGTAATTAAGACATAAAATCATGAAAAAAATCATGTTTTATATATACAGAGTGCACCATAATAAACAACAAGATTTGGATCATTAACAAGTAGAGTATACATATAGAACAATGGTTCCCAACCTGGGAGTATTTACTTCCAATAGCTAATGATTTTCTCAGAGGTTAAAACTAGACAAAAATTTTCAAATTTATCATTTTTCTCATGTTTTTTTCTAATGCTCTTAATTATTTTAAAAATATCGTATTCCTCTACAAAGATAATTTGGCAGCACGAGAACCATGTACATATAAACAAACTAAAAATATAAAAATATAATATTTCTTTACGTAATACATATATACATCATTATTGTTCCATGATTCAGTCTTATTGGGTTGAGATAACCGAAAACGTGAGTCGTATACTAGCTTTGCCACACACCCTTTTTTTGAGAGGGGTATTTGCTAATATATAACCAAATTTATGGGTAATTTATAATCTCTAAAAGTTTGGAAATCACTACGAATTAAGATATACCCCACAATATTAGCAATTACGTTAGAGAAACCCTAAGTGACTCACCAAAACAAATGTTGTAAACTTAGATCATATACTATAAATAGAACCATACCTTATCT